ATCCATGAGGAAACGAGTTCTGTATTTAGTGCAGGGCTTGGATGATGTGCAGTGAATAAGGTCTGGGACCACACATTTAATGAGGAGGAGTAAACAAAATATTTAATAGATACCCATTCAGCTAGCACTGTGCATCTTGTGAGCTAGATGAGATCCTGTAGAAAGAGTAATATGTAATCATATTATTAAACAGAATATCATAATTCATAAGGCCAAATTAAGGCATTTCATAACTTCTAAATACTTTATGTTGCAACCTTCATACTCCTTTAGCATAGTTTAAAAAAAAAGTGTACACAGATTTTTTTTAAAGTGAGTTTTTAGAATTCTATAGTACCCTACCACAGATATTTACCCAAAATCCCTTGTTATCTCTGCTAAGCATACACCACAATCTGCCATCAACCCTACTGCAAGACTTGGGATTTGGGATTGCAATAAGTGTGCAAATGACCTACTCATGTGACTAATTAAAGATGTATCCACTAAGTCATTTTTCTTGCTTTGAAACAGTACTATAGTGGTCAACAGGGTTCTTAAAAAGATTTAAAAAAAAAAAAATCAAGCTGCAATTAGTCCTCACATTTGGTTCAACCCCAAGGCAGAAAAATGTTTTGAGAACAGGTTCAAACAGTATTGTCTTATGGTTAGACAGAAGGAACAAAGAGGATCACTCTGGAATGTAATCCCAACTAAATCACAGGCTCCCTGTCTGACCTTGGACAAGTTACCTGACCTCTTTATATTTCTCAGTCATCAGGCACAAATACTCAGGCCCACAAATACTGCAATTTGATGGAGATCTTGTTAAAACCATTTTAAAAAAAATTCTTTGGCAACCAGACTTTTCATGCTATTGTGAGTTTGTCATAGGACAGATTTTGGTTCCTCATTTTTCTATGGCTGATGCAAAGATATTTTTAACGTACCTGTTTCATAGCTATAAAAGAATGTACTCCTTCCAAACCAGCTTATATTGTATTTTTGAAAGATAAGTTCAACTGGGGCTGAAGAACAAAAACAAAAAAGGACAAACTCCAAAAAAAGTTTCCTGCTAACAGTATCACACATATGTTCTAGTTTATCCCATGCATGCACACTAGTCTCTTTGTGAAAGGTTGTACTGTATTCACTTCATTATGTGGTGTTACAACAACCAGTAACACATATGAAGGTCTGACTGGAAGAGTCCAGTGCTCAGCCTCTTTTTGTTTTATTGTGGTATTTGACATCATCTCAATGCACAAATGTTTTCACTTGTCCCTTCCACGCCCATAACCAGTGGCCCATCAGAGTTGGGGAAACTAAATTAAAAAGGTTTCAGAGTAACAGCCGTGTTAGTCTGTATTCGCAAAAAGAAAAGGAGTACTTGTGGCACCTTAGAGACTAACCAATTTATTTGAGCATAAGCTTTCGTGAGCTACAGCTCACTTCATCGGATGCATACTGTGGAAAAGTAAATTAAAAAATAATTTCCAACCTTTGTTTGATAATGAAGCAATTCAGATGCTGACTTAGAGTCATCATAGAATATCAGGGTTGGAAGAAACCTCAGGAGATCATCTAGTCCAACCCCCTGCACAAAGCAGGACCAATCCCCAGTTTTTGGCCCAGATCCCTAAATGGCCCCCTCAAGGAGAGAACTCACAACCCTGGGTTTAGTAGGCCAATGCTCAAACCACTGAGCTATCTGTCCCCCAGGGATAGCTTCTTCAGTTACACATAGAAGAAACAGTTAAGGGACAAAAGGAAAAAGGAGCATGACTGGTCAATCTGGTTAGATAAATAAAGCATGCATCTGCATTTCCCACACGCCCTTTCTGCAAATTTATTAGTTGGACACATAGCCCCATAAACATGCAAACTGAAGTATTGGTGATCTGTAATTTTTTTTTTTAGTACAGACCGTTATAATTTCCCAACTAAACAAGTATTAAATCACATTTTTCTGTGTTAATATTTGTTTTAACTAGGAAACCCACTTCAGTAACAGATGTACAAGTAAGATTTCTCTACACAGAGAAATGTACTGGCAACGCTACAGTGAAATCATTTTTATGCAAGAGCTATGCCAGTATAATTTCCCCATATGGACACTCTATTCCAGAATAAAAGTGACTTTATTCCAGAATAATGATGAAGTAATTATTCCACCGTAGCTATGCCAGTCAATTTCCCCATGTGGACAAGCCTATAGTCTCTACTTCCTATGAGTTTCTGGGCTTTCCAAGAACCAGAATTAATAAACACACTTAGCTTTAAGACTAAGTCACACAAAGACTCACAAAGCTAAATACATTAACTTTACTTAATAAGCTTCTCTTTAAGTACTTCAATTGTGGATGTAATTTTAAAAGACTAATTATGACAGAAAACAAAAGAAAAAAAACCCAAGTTCTCCTTTTACAGACTTACTTCTCAAAGGCTAAGGGCTTATCTATGCTTACAGCGCTGCAGTTGCTCCGCTGTAGTGCTTATTGAAGACACGACCTATGCCAATGCGTGAGTTTCTCCCATTGGCATAGGTACTCCACCTCCACAAGAGAAGCCCTCCTGTCAACTTAGCGCTGTCTACATTGTGAGTTCAGTCGGTATAACTGCGTCGCTCGGGGTGACATAGTTATACCAACCTAAGGTTTTAGTGTAGACCAGAGCTAACTGATATAACACACAACAACAAAAATCTAAACCCACTGTTTAGCCACAATGTGCTCCTCAATCATGGGGGAAGAGACCACATTTAATTTCCCAGTCCACCAAGATATTTTTGAAGTATTGAAAACTACATGCAGGGCAAGAATGTAAAAATGTTAAGGAAGCATGAGAGAGCTCTGCAAGGTTCCTAATGGACTGTGTAGGCCTAGCTTCAAAGGGCTTCCTCAAAGCACAGCCTAACCATCAGTCTTCACTTATGAAAGGCATAGCTGTGGAAGAAAAGGAGCATTTTAGGCCTGGACAAGAATGCAATGACAGAGTATGATGAAGAAAATGATACAGTATCTTTTAAATGTAAGCCAAGTATTATGTACAGAGCTATTAGTCCCTCAATTTCATGAGAAATATATCAACTCAAGTTAAAAGAAAATTAAAAATGGAAATATTTCAGTGGAGCACTGAATATTTTTTCTGTACCCATAATGCAGCAAGGAATCAGTACAGGACAAAAATGGAACTCATAAGTGTGTGGAAATTAACATCTAACGATTACCCTATTAAAACAGTTTTCAGATTCAACCATGATCTGCATTATGGGGAGGTCATAGGCAGACAGACATTCTGGACATCTCCATTACAGTAAAATTGCCTCTCCTCAGTTGACCTAGTTTAATATTAAAAGACTGCTGAGTTTTTTGTTGTGGTCATTGGTTTGTCTGTTGGTTTTATTTAAACCACGGAATATTAGTGTCAAGTCTCCAATTACACTCCATTAGTAATTGCAGTAAAAAGAAAGTGCTCCAGGACAGGATTTTCAAGGGGGCCAAAGGATGTTAGCTACCCCAACTCCAATCCGGGTAACTTCCATAGGCCCCTTAGAAAAGCCAGCCCTAGTGAAATGTCTGTTAACAGTTGTAACAAATGAGCATTTTCAAAATACTACAGATGTTCCCTGAAGCTCAGGCACTGAGTTTGTGAAAGATGCAACCAGTAATAAATAATTTGCAAGCTTGTAATCCTTTACATTCCTTACTTCCTGAATTAAGAGAAAGAAATGAATTCTCATACAGGATCAGACTAGTGGTTCATCTACTCCTGTGTCCTGCCTCCAAAAGTGGCCAATATCAGATGACTCAAAGGAGGTGCAAGAAGCCCCATAACACACAATTATGGAAGTTAACATTATGAATAGTATTTCAGACAGTGGGCAGACAGAAAGTACGTAATAGCGTAAGATCAGTGAAGCACATATTGCACTTTTGCCTGGACTGGTTTCCAGCATGGGGGTCACTGGGGCGGGTGGGCAAGTGAAGCATCATTTCCCCACCTTCCCCCTCAAAAATACCAGATCCTCCACCATGAAGGGAAGGACGACAGTGTGTGAGAAGGAAAAGTAAAGTACAGCACAGCCAGGGAGGCAAATGAGGGACGCAAGTAAATCCCAGCTGTAGCAGCCCTGCAGAGGAAGGAAGGAAGGAAACACTGAGGCACAAGGGAGGAGGGGAAGTGACTGGGAGGAGGGAGGCAAATACACTCGTTCAGTATAAGTCTCAAAGCCATACAAGAAGGCAGAGGCTCCGCAGAAGCAGCTCCCGCTCCCTCCATCCCCACCCTCTTGCCCGTCTCTGGGGTGTGAAGCGCTCTGCTGTGTTGCACAGAGGAGTCTCCCATGGTGCTGTTTTTAAACTCTCTGCTGTTGTTGATACCATGTGTAAGCAGATCCCCCCTGTGCTGCACGGGGCCCTGTCTGTGCAGACTCCTGTCCTGATTGACACCAGAGTTGGTACATACGGGTCTGTCACAGGAGGCAAGGAGAAGGGTGTAGTTTGTTTTAAACATGGCTTTTCTCTCCCTTCCGCCTTTTACCTTGGAGCCATCACCGGGGCACCATACAAAGCAGAACGCAGAATCAGCCCAGGGCAGAATCAGCCAGGACATGGGGGATTTTTCCCAGAGATTGATGAGCTACGGCTTGGAGTTTGCAAGCAGGAAACTCCTCCGGGGGAGGTAAAAGGCGAAGCTGCAGCTGCTGCATTTTTTTCCGGTGGCGGGGCGGGGGAGGGGGGGAGAGATCGGAGTTGTGACAGCGAGTTCGCATTCGAGAGGAGGGGGTGACAACTGCAGCCCTCACTACAAGGTTAGAGGAAGTAAGGAGTAAATCAACAAATCAGCAACCGGAGGGAAGGGTGGAAGATCTTTGCAACAGGCAGTACAAATACCCAGACTCAATCAGCGCAGTCCAAAAAAATCGCCCCAGGCTTGCAGGCAACCGGAGGCTGAGATTATTAACTGCAAACGGGCGTCAAAAGGAATGCACCACAACACAATCAACACAGGCGCGTTACCTTTCTCTTCGGCATAATGTCCCTGCCCCGGGCTGCAAAAGTAAAGCAACGAGCAGGCTTCTGCACAAGCGCAGATCCCTCCTCCTAACGCCGCGGCGGTGGCAAGGCAATCTCGAACCCGCTCCGCTGCGCACGCTCCACGCTCACTGCCCCTGCGCCGCTGACACCCGAGAGCCCCCTGCCCACAGGCGCCCACCGCGGCTACCGAGAGGCGACAATGGGGCAGCTCTTCTTTCTGATTGGCTCCCCAATTCTGTAGCCCCCGCCCTCCTCTGAAGGGAATAGACTAATCAGGGGACGTCCGTGTGGTTCAGATGCAGGGCACGCTGGGGTGAGGTAGCCTGCGCTGACGGGGTAGTAGCAGGCCCCCAAATAGCCAAACAGAAGTGGGGAGGCTGGGGGGCACATGGGGAGCCGTCTGGAGCTATGTCCAACATTTAATAAGATTTTTAAACATTTCACAACCAACAGCATAGTTATACCTGTATCTGGCAAGTTATCTTCTGAGTAACAAATGCCACCCATCAGACAACAGGGACCCCCCCACAAAAAAAGCATCTTTGGATTTGCCAAACATCTACATAAATGTACACAAAATGGTTCTCCACTCTTCTATCCCAATTGTTCCCCTTCTTTGACGGTCTTTAAATCTTCCCCCTTGCTATCTTTTCCCCTTGAGTGCTGCTCTCTCCCACTTCCCTCAGCCTCTCCCTCCTTTTTTCCTCCTTCCCATGCCCCTAATATCCATCCAGAATTTGCCCCTCATATCCACTGTCCTTTCTATTCCGTACTTTTTGCTTTGTACATCCATCTGTTGGTCAGTCTCCAGCCCTTCACACCATAGACCAATTGTCCATTCTCTCCCATAAATTCTCCACTTGCCCCACCTGTCTGTCCTCTCATTAATTTAACAATGTATAACCTCTCTTGTCAATTCCCAGTTTGTCCTCTTCTTCCAAATTGCTTCAATTCTTGCCTTCTTTATTCATCAGTTGGTTCTCAGGCTTTCCCTCGGCCCTTTGCACAATTCTTACTCCCCACAAATTTATTCCATTTTGTCTTTTACTCCAATCTATTTAATTCTCAGCTACCAGAGGAGGGTAAATCTGGGAGGGCAATAGGAGCAGGGGACAAGCAAAGGGGGATTCAATTAGGGTTAAGGAGGTGTCAAGTATCAGAGGGGTAGCCGTGTTAGTCTGGATCTGTAAAAGCGGCAAAGAGTCCTGTGGCATCTTATAGACTAACAGTACGTAACACTGTACTAAAGATGCAAGCCCAGGGTGGATAAAAATAAATGATTTCTTTTAAAATAAAAAAAATTGGATTTTTTGATAAAATGCTTTTTAAGGAAAAAACTATCTAAATATAGTTTTAAGATAAGATAAACTAATTATAAGATAGATACAATATAGCTCAAAGATATCTCATCATGGAATAGGGATTATAAATTCTAATTCTGTAACATGAGACAATATAGTCATGGAATGTTTAAGAAAAGTTTTGTAAATGAGTTCCAATGGGTCATGGATTAGGGACCCAATCTTATGGGGTTCCAGGGGCTTCTGTATGGATTATTTAGGTTAAACTTTCTATCTACCCAATGGGACTCAGTGCTCAGTCTAGAAGACACCAGCAGAGATGCTTAGTTTTGCAGTTCTCAAACTGTGGATTTGTGTCTCCAGAGATAACATGCTTGTTAACAGCAAAAATGGTTTAAAATAAATAAATAAATAAATAAATAATATATAGAGGTGAGAAATAACAGACCTCAACCCTATTATCCCTCTGCAAATTTGTGTACAAAGAGTCAATCCCTTACCTCTCTCTGAAAGTGCAGTTTCAAAAAGTTTAATAAACAGAAGATTGTTGGGGGAAGAATAGATCTGGACAAGGAGAAACCTGGAGATAAATGTGAGAAGGGAGGAACAGGCAGTAGAAACAAAAGTGAAAGTTTCAGAGTAACAGCCGTGTTAGTCTGTATTCGCAAAAAGAAAAGAAGTACTTGTGGCACCTTAGAGACTAACTCACAAAAGCTTATGCTCAGATAAATTGGTTAGTCTCTAAGGTGCCACAAGTACTCCTTTTCTTTTTGTAAAAGTGAAAGTGTTTGAGCAGCATATTCCAGAAGTCTTGAGGTCTTTCTGAGTGTAGCCTTCATTGATTTGAGATCTACTATACCATTCTCTCACTAGAAGGGAAAACCTATAATGGCAGCAGGCCATAAAAGAGACCCAGTTTGGGAATAAGAAACATTCAAGAAATCTATGTTTGCTGATGATGTTTTAAAGAAAGTCACAGGAGTGAACTGGTGGAAGTCACTTAAGAATCAGGCGAGGGATAATGAGGTTAGTTCAATCAGAGAGGATGAGGCCCTCTTCTAGCAGTTGAGTTGTGAACACCAAGGGAGGAGAAACTGCTTTTGTAGTTGGCTAGCCATTCACAGTCTTTGTTTAAGTCTTTCACATCTCAACTGCTAGAAGAGGGCCTCATCCTCCCTGATTGAACTAACCTCGTTATCCCTAGCCTGATTCTTGCTTGCATATTTATACCTGCCTCTGGAAATTTCCACTACATGATCCGACAAAGTGGGTATTCACCCACGAAAGTTTATGCTCCAATACGTCTGTACAACTTAAGCACTTCGATTCAGAGACTGTTGAAGTGATAATTTCACTTTAAACAGCAGTAGCTTCTTCTGCCGGTGTAGACAGAATATTTTCTTCCTTTGGACTAATTCATTCCAAATTGAGAAATCGTTTGGGACCTGAAAAAGCAGGAAAGCTTGTTTTCTTTTCCAGATTATGAACAATCAGGTGAAGATGACTGAGTTAGCTGCAGAAGCCAATATTTTAAGTTTTTCATGTTGACCTGATTGACACAGTTGATTTAATTTTTATGTTTTTTAAAAAATATTTCATTTAACTATTTTAGTTAAAAACAATTTTAAGAAAAACAAACCTGATTCTAAAAAACTTGAATGTTTAACTAAATTCAAAAATTCATATGCTTGTTTTGTTAAAATATTATATGTTTGCTGTTGAAGAAAAAAATCCAGAATACATAACATTGTTATTTTAGTTAAATAAAACAATTTAAATTTCTGTCTGGTGATGTTCTCCTCCTAATTCAGCATGGCAAGAAATCCTCCAAATAGTAATGATTAACCTGTTGAACTGGAGATAGTTCACCTTAGTGACTTCATAAATATCTGGTTCAGTTACCTTTGGTAAACGAAATAACCAAACAATCATTCATTTTCTGATATAGCTGTAACACTAATCTGAAAAGTTTTCAAAATAAATCACTTTAAAAATGTATGGTGTGTACCTTCTGAAAATGAAACCTACATCTATCTCTGAGTTGTCAAGAATATGTATTAAGGTTATAACAACCGACAAGAATTCACTTTTATGTAGAAATCCATAAATGGAGTCTTCCTGACTAGTGATTTAAATCAAATCCACCCTATGCAGGCCACAACGAAGAATAGCATAGGCCACATTTTGACCACATTTTGAAAACCATTGTTTTCACTGATCTGAAAATTAATTGTGTTTCCAATACTCCATTTATATGGAGATTAATAGGGAATCAGTCATGCAGTTGGAAGTGGGGGGTACAACTGTATTATATTGCCACTTTTCTGGAATATTTGGGGGGATCTTCATGTTTAGGAAGAAGGCAGAGACAAGTATTACAATCCCACATCTCCACTGCCCTCCATGTTCCAGGTACATCTTAAATATTATTTACATGTGGTACAACCCTAAGATCCCAATCAGTCTTGGGGCCCTGTTAACTGAGACATTTATAAACACATATGTAGAAATAGGCCTTATCCGAAAGAGCTTATAATGTAAAGAAAGCTTATAACCTAAAAAGACAGAGGGAAACAGGGTACAATATACAGTTGTGATCAACACACATCCTATTAGTTCCATATATTCAAACATGACTAAGCCCCAAATATCCCACAATCTAGCAATTGTTAGCACTTTTCTACTTCCAACTAACCAGTCCAGAACACAGCAAAACCTGTAAATAACAATGAACATTAACAATAAAGGAACTGCTAGTGTTCTGGTCATTATAATAGAAGGCTGCATCACAGGGCAATTAGTATAAAGGAATTTACATAACGATTTGGATATTTTTAAAAAGAAATGGGTATTAGGGCAGCACTGGTATCTCCCTAAATAGGAAAAGTGTTAATGAATGTCAGGATTACAGATCAACACACAAAAATATGTTACAGGTTCTAAAAGTGAGAGGACAGGCCTGAAATTTGTTGGGGCCCCCTGTGACCATTGATACAGGTGCCCTCAGAGCCACACTAAATCTTCATTGCACCCTTTTAAAATCCTGCTTCCACTCTGATAATGACACTATTAACATAATGGCACTTGGAAAAAGTCCCACAATGGACAGTAGTAAAAGGAGTAAGGCAAAGCAGTAGTAGCTATTACAGAGAAGAAAGTTTGTGTAAAGATTCAATCCATTTGTCAAAAGTACAATCAGTCCCACATCCCCCATTGTAGAGGGATTTAATTTGCCATGTTAATGGATGTTTGTTTGCCATAACCTTCACCCAGCTAGTTGTAAAGAAGAGGGACCCAATTGCTAATGAATCAACTGTAGCTACGCTCATATAATTGAGAACAGGATTTGGCCCAAAATGTGTACATTGGGAGAGTTGGGGGCATTCTTGGACTCTCTCAGTACCATGGTCAGACCATTAGCTGGTGCAACTGAGGTCAAAGTGATCAAGGTAACATCTAGCAATACAAACCCAATATTTGGACTGTTCCTTAGAGGCTTCTGGAGCCTCTTTGATTCCTGAGAATTACAAAAATGAACAAACGCCATAACAGATTAATTTTTGAAGGGTTGGGGGAGAACTTAAATAATTGTCTCTCTGCAGCTATCTGCTTTAAAGAAGGTTCAGTTCTGTTAGATTTGCCTGAAACTCACTGTGATTTAGGCATGAAATTTGATATAAAATTACAGAAAGGTAATTAAAATGAAGATGAAGAGAAATTGGGCTCCAGGATGACAAAAAAGTTCCACTAAGTCATGGTGCAAGTGTACAATACTGTAAAACCACTCTGCACTGTAAGGAAGCAGCAAAAAATCACCCAATAGTTATCCAGTTCATTGTCAGAGTAGGACAGCATAAGTCCACCTGCTGTTCTAGTTTTCTTCCTGTTACACAAATTCATAAGAA